ATATCTTTCGTTTAACTGGGAACTGATCTAACACATGGTATCTAAGAACGATGAACTGCTACGTAAATGGTTATCTGAAATAGCAGAGCTGCTAGCGTGCAGGTAACCTGTAAAGTACCTTTGTCGTTTATCGTTTCCCTTTGTCGTTAATGTTAACGCGTAATTAAGTTATATAGTTAATTTATTTGTTTTTCCTGGGATAAATCATTGCGTATAATTCCATGAACTTTTCACATTTGCACGTTTTCCTCGTAACTAGATTTCGAAACAACGCTTTGGGGAGCCGGGATTATATTAAAAAAATCGCTATATAGATAGAACAGAATAATAATTTTAATAAAGTGTATAAGAAGAGAAGGGAAAATTTCACCAGCGTGTAATAATGGAGGAGGAATTTTGAAAATGTTCAACTCCCTTTGTCGCACGGTAATACATCAGCTGTATGCATTTCATTTTCGTTAAAAGCATCAAACATTCACGAAGGCAGCTTAGATCAAACACATTTCCCCGAAAGACCCCCCCTTAATGCCTGCATGCAATCTTAAGGTATGATGATTGCATTCTGTAGAGAAAATATTAAAAATCGCTCAAAGAAGTTCACCGAGCTTGCTTTACAATTGACGATATTCCATAATTCAAGTTATTATTTAGAAATAGAACTCTGAGTAAAATTAAACCTAATTTCTTCACGAGGCGAATTCGCCATAAATCTAAGATCACTCATTGCTAATCGAATTTCCTTTTCTCACTAATGGTAATTGCAGTTTCCCAGTACACGGTGAACAAAAAAAGTTAGCGTAATTGCGCAATTAGAAGTGCAACTTTCACTACGTAAAAGAACTTAACAAATGTTTATCTCATTTCCTATACGGTAAAAAGAGATCTCATGCGGGTAATGTATAATTATTTTATAATTATGTACGAGATGGCGGTTACTTGCGTTTGTCACTATTTTCCCCGTTTTTTTTTCATCTAATGCCGCCGTAACCGCGTATTATGTGTTATTACCTTCTGCACCGATGCACTTCCGTGCTTATCGACGGTGGATAGTTTGAATAAAGGGTATAATTTAAAAATGTATATGAATTGATGTAGATGAGCAAGTCATTATTAAAGTGCAATTCCATGTAGTTTTTATAATTGACTTCTACGAAGAAATCAGTAAAGCACATTATTTGATTTTTTGTTTGCAATTTTTTTAATTTTTTCTTTGAAAATTATTCACGAAAAAAGGTCGTTTGTATTTGCCATCAATCCACCCCACCACCTTTTGTTAACGGTTTTTAGACTTAACGAATTCACATTCACTATTGAGTATAAGGGTTTCTTGAATTTTTTTACAAAGAAAGGCTCCCAACAAGAAGTCCGTATTTCATATCGTACTCAACCCATTAACTCGAAAAAGAAAAGCTACTATTACTAGAGTCTGTCCGTATGCCATTACATCTATCCATTCGTGTGCGAGATGAGATTTCAACGCTGCCACGTCATAGAATACTCATTTATGTATACGTAGGTATTCTTATGTAAACAACGTCATGTAGATGTAATTTGGTTCGGTATTTCTAAACACCAACAATAAGAACGGGACCCCCTGTATATGACAGTATTTCAATTTTATTAATTGTAAATCTGGGTGATAACTTACGCATAAACAGTTATTTCGTGCCTCAGTGTTATTTTTCCTTTTCTGTTTATAATTGCGTATTATTTGTTATCGAAGAAGGACGCGCGACACGTTCTTTCGCAGCTGGGGCTTATCAAGTCTAATGGAGGAGGAGATTATTTTATTGTGAAAGTGCCTTTAAATACTAGAATCAACCAAACGATGCCGGCTGGTTCGCGACGGTTGGAAAGCATGTACGTTTCTTTACGCTATTTATTTGATTCATGCTGTCCGCCGGATTTGATTGTTTGAAGACGTAGTTTGTCATTATTATTGTTATAATTTTGTGCAGAAAAAAGATAACTAAAGTTGTTATTGAGAAGTTTAAAGCGGTTCGTGCATTTTATGGAAAAGGTCTGTTAAGTTTGAAAAAGCAAGCAGTTAGTGCACCGTGAAGCCTTCTGTCAAAGTCCTCTTGTTATTAAAAGATACAAGTTTGCACCGTCTGAACATCCATCGGCAATTCGTCATTTTATTCATCGAGTTCAGCTGTCAGCGTTTGTATGTGGAGTTAAATGCGCCTTGTTTATCGCAAACGCTTTGTACGGCCAGATTATTAGGAAAGAGAAGATTTTCTTATTTTATTTGTCGAACGCTTGCGTGCGAGGTAATTTGGCCAAACAAGCTTTGTAAGCATATCTTTATTTCAGGAATTTTGTTTTAATTTATCATTGTTTTTAATGTGTTTTCGGAATAAATTTCTTCGATAAATATCTAAAAATACCCATATGTACGGATAAATCCTATTCAGGGATACTAAATCTGCACATATTATTGCTTAAGTAACGTCAATAATATTTATACACATAAACTTTATTTGTTTAGAAGTATGTTTAAACTTGACCGTTTTTCTTATTAAGTGAACATAGTGAGAACGAATAAATTCAAATGAGGGGTGGATATCATTTATGTCAATTCCGTTCTCCAGATATTCACACAAGAAGCTTTTACCCCACCGACAAATACGTTTCGTCCAGACCATCCATATTCCTATTGTAAGGGCTTCATTTCTTTAAATGTCATTAATTTCCGTTCTTTTAAGTTCGTACTGTAACAACCAAGACCAGCCGACTGCGCAACATAAAACCAAAAATCAAAACTCCCGCTAAAACTAACCTAACCATTAACCCATGGCACATGATCGTCAAGTAACAAACCTGTCTAGTGAGAAGACTCACTTTGTGTTGTGAAACGAGTTACTCGAGAATGAGTGTGTACTGTGTGTCGCTCTAAGGATCGACATAAATAAAACGCAAGAAATGGGGAGCGTGAAATTTAATTTTAATACGTCAAAACAACTCAAACATTCAAATCCAAATTCATTCATCACACAAGAATAGCTCTAGGGACTTCACTGATTACAAAAAGCTATTCAAAACCTTCCAGGATATGTGCTCACTTACTGTATCAATTCTTTTTAGTTTATTTTAGGTCTTTATTTTTAAATTGGTGGGGTTTCAGCCACGGGCTGCTCTACCAACCCAACCCACTATACATTTTCAAATATCCTTGCCCGAACCCGGATTCGAAACAGGGACTCTTAGTCCCGCAGTCGAGCTTCCACGCCACTGCGCCACAGAGACTGGTATGGCGTAGAGCTCAGGCGCCCACCTTTGGCTAGGGACATGACCATCTCATTGTAATAAAGAGTTAGGGGTTTCGAGATCCATCCCATAACAGTTTTCATATTACAAAAATTTAGGAGTTATGAAAGGTATCACATGTGCATTTATGCAAAATAAGATGGTGGGAAAATACCACTGCAAACAAATTCAACAAACATTACGCCTCCATATTATAAAACAAGTGTGAACCCCCCCAGACTCTTCATATAAGGCGATAACAAGATTAACATTAGATAAGAAATATTATTATTATTATTATTATAAGCTAAATGGAAAATTCTCAAAACGAGTGCCCCAGAATTCGTAATTTTTTCAAAACGTAATTAAAGCGACATTCACAACGAAACTTCTACCTACAGGAGAAAGCATTACGTATGTGCTATCTGTAACACCCTAATAAAACGACAGCTAATAAATAAAAGCAATTACCTTACGACCTATGCTAATTACAGTAATTACAAAGTAAAATAAAGGATACATTTACCTAAGTTTTCGGGAGTAAACACACCCAACAAAAGCAATTTACGTTTTACCGCCTCAACCTCAACTAAAACTTCGCAGTTTTGTCATTCTTGCTACAGCATGACTTCGCTTACGAACTTTCGCCTTTGAGCAATTTGAATTACTGCACTTCCCGCGAAAATATTTCCAGTGGCGTACCATGGGTTTTTCTCCTTGAATGAAATGCATAAAAGCGGGAATAATATAATTCAAAAACTGCCAGATATGTTACATCAGAATACAACAAAAGAAATAAAAAGAAGGAAAGCCAGGTGAAGTAAACATAATTTTCTAATTGTATGAACGGTGTTTTATTGACCTCTTAATTCTGAAACTTTTTGCCATTTAACCGGATTTGTAACTTTTACGGTTAATTGTTTATTCTCAAAACCCCAAAAACTACATTTTCCAAATATTTCTGAGGCCCTCTTCTTCTTACTGGGTTAGGACGCCGCGGTGCTATGAGGGATCTTATACTTTATATTGCCGGCTAAGTGGTTTATAGGCTTTCTCAGAACAAGATTGTCGAACACGATTAGGTATATGATGAAAAAAAATTCTTATTTTTTGCTGGTAAAATCTTTGCACTCAATTTTGAAATTTTGAATCACCCTGTATTAAAAAAACTACCCGATTAAACTTTAGTACTTTATCAAACCTTTCTTAATTGAAACTGAATTCATCAAACTCGTTATTTATTCACCGATTCCGTTGGGAAAATCCCCAAAGGTTTGGCGTCACTCATGCGCACTTTTATTACAGTTTATTCGATCCGTCTAAACAAAACTATGTTTTGGAAGATGATCGTATTTGTAAGAGAATTTTCATAAATTGTATCTTATTAAAATTATGTATGGTTATCTTCATTGACCTTATATCTTTGATACTTTCAAAGTTCCATCATCCGGACACCACAGATCGTTCCTCTCGATTTTTATTCGATGATTCGTAGTATTAGAGATGGTACTATACAGGGTGTAGCATCTAATACTCCTTGGATTATAATTCCTTGACTAGAAAAGAAAACATTTATCGTCGCCATGTTTCTAAAATATTGTTGATCACCAGGGGCGTCCTGTATTCCAGTGGCGTATCAAACTTTTTTTTGGCCATATTTTATTTTTTTAATATTTTTATGTGTCATGTTATACCCTTAACTTTAACGATTTTGCTGCTATGGCCATTTTTCTTTTTCGGAATTTTTTTGTAAGTTTTGAATTTAGGCACAGGTCAAGACCTACCCTAATGTCACATAATTTTAAAAAACAACAAAATTTCCACTGATACAAACTAAGATAAAAACAAGTTGAAACGCCAATATGTAGATAATGCTCTTTTTCGAACCCAAGGGCCAAGTTTGCCATTTTTTAAACAGCGCGCATGAATTCACTCCCTCGTGTCCTCGGCAGTAGTTGGTGCCGTCTTGTACACCTCATTTTTGATGTAGCCCCAGACCAAACAAAGTTGTTGAACATTGAACAGTTTATTTAATACGACTTTTGAAACGAAAGTTGCGCACTACTTTGATTAAGATAGGAAAAATCCATAACTTTCGTTTCAAAGATCGTTTTGAAAAACAATGTTGTTATTAAATGCCCATAGAACCTACACATGAAATGTTCTGAAATTCTGATCACTTGGTTCTCCGGTTAAGACTTTATGGAATTTTTTTTTGAAAACTAATTTCAGATTCGGTAATTTAATCCACGTATAGGGATGCGTCATCTCGGGGTTAGGAATATTGGAAATGTTTTTACTAAATGGAAAGGGTATAGGTACTCAATACTATATCCAGAGATGTGCCATGCTTCTTGGTACGTCTTATGGTTCTTGAGAAGTTTGCATCATTTTGAAAGGGAAGTTCCAGTTTCTCCTCCGATGTTGATAAAAAAGAAATTTAATTAAAACTCAAAACTAACCATCTCTTGATTGCTCCTTCTGCATGTAATCTCTCCTGCAAGATTTCTTCTTGTCGAAATCGTACACGGATCGAAGTTTTGGACTTTTACCGTCGCGCGTCATTTAATTAATTACAATATTATTTCGTCAATAAGTTACACAGGGCGAACGATTTAGATTAGTTCTAATCCCACCAGGAGTGATTTATGAGACAATTTAAACTGAAATTAAAACACGCCCACTCCGCTCTTTCCTATCACAAATCTAATAGAAATTTTCTCAGGAAATCAAGTCTAGACAATGTACAAACTTTACCAGTCTGCTTGATAAGATAAATTTGTATATGCCAGACTCTTTACAGAACATAAACTAACACCGTTGAAATGTGTAAATTGAACTTGAGACGTTTGCGAAGAAACAAATACACACCGTAATGAATCATGCCTAAACATTCCTTCAGTAAGTTTCCTCAGGAATCCTGACAAATTCAACGGGTCAAATTTGATATTGGAAATTTTTACGGAGCAGAGTACCAGTGAAGTTTATTGTCCAAATACTGAATTTAGATTGGTCATGTAAGCCATTTTTCATGTAAGCTTTTACAATGCTTAATATTGTACTAAAAAAAAGTAGGAGTCATTAGTAATAAATCTTTCCAAAACTATCTTTTGCTTATCCTGCGACAGTGAAGTCTTAAATAATTAATGTTATAATAAACAGCATATCTATTATTAACGCATGCCGTCGTTTTTTGTGCAAAATTACATGGTCCGTCATTTGCTCCAAAAAGTTGTTGTATATCTCGAGCCAGCGGAAAATGCGAAAAATTTACTCATATTCAAATGATTATTCTCAAAAACGGTTTTTTGTTTGTGGGAAATCGAATCTCTTCCGGTTTGCTCCATGCGTGAGATCGTGATTTTCGTAAAAAAAAAACTTTGTAAGCAGAAGTGTGATAGATTACGCTCTGTCTTTTACCTTATATCGATGTTGTGCTTATACTGTATCTTTATAGTGTTGCGAGTGACTTGTAACTATTTAGGTTGCTACACCTTCCACTCTTCTTCGCCTCCCACACGCTGTGGAGTCAGATTATTAGAAACATGGCTAATCCTGATCGTTTTCAATACGATGCGTCGCAACAAAGCCAAAGAGTCTTCCCTCTACTCCTTATCGGTCACTCTTGAGAAAGTGTTTTTAAAGTTCCGATTTTCCCATTAACTGGAGGTGGAAGGGGACGGAGAGAATATAAAATTAAAAATTTGGGATGCGATACTATCATAGAATCCCACGCGTCAAGCTGCATCAAAGAAACGGGTGTCACTTCAGTAATTTCTTGAGGGTGTTCTTGATGGTTGTTCTTGTCTTGTTTGTCTTGAGTGGTTTTCCATCAAACCTGGACACTGTGTATAAATATTTACAGTTTTAAGAGATGTCGAATCACATTCGGTAGAGAGATGTTGTAGTACTTTGTGCGTTTGCTGTACTTTTCATAGACTGCTAGATCTCCTTGTGGTTTCCCTCAAAAAGTACTTTTTTTGTTGGCCTCGGAACAAAAGATATCAAATCGCGTATTTTTGTAGTCGTAAAAAATCTGGATCTGAAATGTCAATGTAAATTTAATAGTTACTTACATAAAAGCCAGGAAAATGATACATTACTGGCGAGGAAATATTGAAGTGCGAGGCCCCTTTGAGGCCAAGTACTTTAATTTCCGAGTCAGGTTTTACTCACGAATTTTGTATTAAGTTTTACCCGAAATCGTATTTTAATATAATTTGTTTTTACATAGAACTTTTGATTAATGTCAATCTGTCAGTGATGACGGGAGTCATTATAGACATCTGGAAATGTCTGTCACAAATGCGACCAGTAAAGTGACGGTGCGGTCGGTAAAGTGACATGTGCGGCCAGTAAAGTTACAAGCGGCAGGAAAAGTAGCCTGGTCTGCCTCTGTCATGGAAACTTAAATTTCTTGACAAAAACTAGGCATGAAAATGAAGGTTTCAGGACGATTTTGGGTAAATCAATTTTTGGCAAAAAAGAGTAGTCAGGGAAATTATTAAAATCGAAATAGGCTTCGCAGAAAACAACGGAGCTATAATTGTTAAATGGCTATCAAACAAATGTAGTAATTGAAATGAAATGAAGTCGTCGAAAATTTAAAAATAAATTACCTTTTGAACCACAGGTCGCAACCTTTCCGAGCTCAGAAACGGCGCTGTTCTGCCTTATCTGCAACAGATAACAACACAAACAATTAAGAGGAATAGTGAATAGCGCGGCAAGTAAATATTGCGATAGCGTCTGGCACTAATCAGGTACTCGTGTACTAAAACCGTAATTAATACGCAATAAGAATCAATAATTTAATTTACGTTAACTAACCAAAAGCAAAATGTTGACTCGACCACGGATTGTCCGTACAAAGGTGTATAAAAGCAAGAACGTAACGTTAACTCAAGAAAAACTACTTTACGATTCACAAATAACTACATTTCTATAAAACCGCAATGATCTAATTAATTCAAAATGTAAATAAGCTAACATGAAGAAATTCTTCGGTGTGGCACAAGTAACCTACAAAAATTCGTAGATATCGGTTTTGGACAAGATCTCGGTAATTTCAAAAACTGATTTATAAAGCAAAGGTAACTAATATCTTCGTATAACAAAGTTATTCTGAAGGATACAATTTAATCAAAGTAACAGGAATCTTCGGAGTAACAAAAGTTGAAAAATCCGGTCTCGGAAGGTACATTATTCGTAGCGACACAAGTAGTATATGCCAAATCCGAAATATCGAAGCAATAATCTCTGAAAGGTTTTGCAATACTTGCAGTTGGACAGGAACAATATCGAAGGTTTAAACAACAGGTCACTAGTAATGTAGGTAGAATCACGTGATTGATTTTCTTCTAAGATGGTGCTGGAATTTTCCAAGGCGTAGTAATCAAACGTGTCGTAAATATTTCTGAATGGACGTTGACGTAGTCATATCCAGGTCGGTACTAACGAGATAGTGGTCCAGAAGCGAACTTTAATGGAAGTTAAAGCCCTAAAAAAATACGTATTAAGAATAATGTTGCCTCATAACGGTCATTACTTCATACTAAAATGTGGTGATAGCGAAAACAATAAGCCTTTATTCGGAAAAAAATACGATTGTACGCAAGATCAAATTAAAGAAGGGATGGAATTAGAAGTACCATGGAATACATCTACGCGACCTCTGGCGGCGAAACAAAGAACTATTGTAAAACAAAGCTATAACGCTCGGATGGCCTCTAGCAGCGAAAATAAAGAACTAAAGTAATAACACATATACTATAGAAATAACTCACATTTTAACTAAACGGGTTTACAAAGGAAATACCTAGATGGCGCAAGAATACTAACTATGCACGAGAGTATAAATCGAAGAGTTACTGAAACGGAATTTAAATTGGTAAGAAAAAGAACGTAACAGAGTGATCACAAGTAAAACAAAAATTAAGTAGATTTAGGGGGATTTGTTTTATTGTATAGCGAAGTGTGAACAGTTGAATTGTAAGGATTAGTTTGTTTTAGTTGCAATTGATTTTGTTATAAAGGTTTTTCTTCTCCTTGGCGAATTTGTATCGTCAGTCAGAGTAGGCTTAGGTGAGATCACGTAGCACATCTCAAGCTGTTGAGAATTCTGTGCCCTAAAGGGCGAGATAACGGAGGAACGGTTGAGGTGGGTGCCGAAGGTAATGGGCACATAGCCGAAATACATTGAATATAGCATGCACATTCTATGGAAATGCAAAATTTCACTAGGGACATTTGGCACACTCTAGGGCACACTTTACATACTGTCAAGAAGATATACCATGAACATTGTTAGGACACAGATGCGCATCCACGAGAGGAGCAAAGGAAAATTGATCCCCCCTCCCTAGGGACAAGATTGTAGTGTCCATAGAATACCATCCGAGTTTGAAGTAAATTGTTGTGTTTTTCAAGAATATGCACTTCCCTGCCCTTCCTTCGGTTGACAGGGGTTTTACCTGCTAAAACCACAGTGTTGTCACATCATGTAGAAGGTGTCATTAACATTCAAAAATTTTAAATCTTTTTTTTTAGCCTCAAAAAAGGGCATTTTTGTCCCCATTTAACATACACTGTATCTCTCACCAAGAAAACATTTATTTAAACATAAAGGAACCTTTGGTTTTCAAGATGTCTGCAATACAAGAGGTCTGTAATGAGAGAGGTTGGCTTCCAGGGTTTTTAAATGGGGTTCTCTTTAAAAAGTACTGTATTCATAAAAAAACTGTACTGATGATGGGTATAAAAATCTTCTATGCTTTTTATTATATATTTCATAGTATTCGCCGCCAAGAGCAAGAGGAAACTTACCCAGGAAAATGCACCCTCAAATTATCCGCTCCTCCGATAAAACTTCCCAAGAATATTCGAGTTCATGGGCTCCAATGACATTTGCGTTTCAGGAAATTCACCAATTTTTCTTGAGAGCGAGTGTTCGTGGGTAATTAATCTACGTAGTGAGGGCCTTTTTTTTAGATCAAATACCTCAAATATCGTTTGAGAGAATTTATTGGGATAGATTAACCCACATTGAATTTTCTTGAGGGCGAATTTTCCAAGTGAAAGTAAGGAAAATCTGTACATTGACGGGACAATTGGTTATTTTGGGCATTGGGAGAGTCCTTCCTTCTTGGGGATTACTGTGAATCTGAACGAGAAGAAGTTGTACTATAACCAAAAGAAATGCGAGTTTTCCGCTTTTATTCTTTTTTCTCTTTAAGCTTTTCGTACCGGCATAAATAATGGCAGTATATTAGATACTAGTAGTGCTTTATATCTTTCATGCGTAGGTATTTGATGGATCGCCGAGTTAATGTCACCTTGACGACTGAAAATTTTCCACATACTTCATTCCTGTCACGTTTATACAAGAATTTGGCTCATTAGGAGTTCTGATTGTCACAATCAAATCGCAACGCTAAAAAAACAGAAAAGTTTGGCGATGCCTTTCCAACAAAACAATTTATTTTTTACTAGACGTAGAAATACGGTTTTTATTGGTACACGGGATTCTCTAGCTAGAAAATAATGGTACCATGTTGCAGATCTTCCCAAACATTGAACCATACGTTTGGAGAGTGTGATCACTTCATATTTTATATATAAGCTGACAATAAATTTCAATGTTTAGTATAAATAAACGTCGAGATTTGTATAATAATGTAAAGTAGGGTGGAATTAATGATTTGAATGTAAGATGTCTAAATGTAGCACATTTCACGTAGGCTTCTAATCCGTCGGTTTGTGCAGGGGTTCTCTTTTCAGTTCACTAGCGACTTACTTGTATGACAGTATGCTTGTAGATGTCAGACGTCAATGTCGAATACATCTTCAAGTCGACAGTCAGTAATCAAAAGGCGTAAGCGTGTGTAGTCTACAAGAATGTTAGCATTACAACAATATACAAGCTAATTTTGTCACTAGATTACAGTCAGACGACGTCTAGACACCACACCACGTTTCTAACTGCGTTTGATGAAATACTACTATTCTATTGCCAGGATTAGAATGAATTGGATTTACGTCTTAGTGACGTGAAATCATCACGCCCTCTGCCAAAACCAGGCGCACCACGTGGCCCGCGCGAATGCCATAAGCGATTCGCGCAAAATGTACACCTTCCGCCGAAAATAGACGCCGCGCGCCGAAAATAAAATAATGAAAAATTGGAAGGTGAAAGAGAAGTGTCCCTTAAAAAATCTTTCAAGTTATTTATACGTTTTCACAAATTGTTTACAGAACATTTACAGCATCACTCATATAACCCTTAATCTATCAAATTGAGTCTGTCTTCTCCTAAAAATAGCGCACGGGGGAAATTAATTAAATTTTGTGGGTTTAATGAAGCGTTAGATTCATTAACACCTTGCCAGAAGGCGCTTTTTTCTTCTTTTTCTGTTCGATACGGTGGCGGCGGAACTAAAATTGTATTAATTAAATTTTCAGGCGTCAATTAGACGAGTTCATATTCAATCCGTATTGAATTATTCCCTTTACGTGGAATATTCCGCTATTATTAGATTGCTACTATTGGCGTTGTGTGAATTTCGCATCAATTAAATTAATTAGTCTCTCTTGTTCTAATTTAAGCCAGTTTTTGTGTGTTTCCAATAGTGTGGTTTTCAAACGTGCCGTTTGATCTGAAAAACCTCATGAATTCAATTTTGACAGTCATTTTAAATATCTCGTTCCTCGCCGGACTTCATTACAAAAATTCCCTTTTTTTAGTAAAAATATTAAATTATTTTCTAAAATAAGTTGATCATACCCATACCCAAAACTCTGATCTGTATATGCTCAGCAGTTTTAACATTGGAAATGTTTATGGTTTCGTAGGTATATGGGTATGAAGTTACGAGTTTCGTTCAAGCAGAAGAGGCCGCGATTGTACCGTACTCGGTTGTGATCGTTAGGTGAAAGCAAAGTCGCAGATACTGTCGGTACGGTACTTACTTAATATTGTTCAATCTCTTTACGCATAAACATAGGTTGCCTGGCATACTTTCAAAATCTACGCTTTATAAGGCAAGAAGAATGAAGCCTTTAAAAATTCTCCGAAATGAGGAATTATTTGTACTCGATCACGATAAGGAGTCGAGGGGGAGGTTATGGTAGAAATTAATTCCTTTCCTTGAGACCTTTCATTAGACTACCATGAAGGATAAAACCAGTCCCCCCCAACACCTCTTTTGATAAGGAGTTTGGAAAGTAGGGCGGTAATTGATAGAAAACAGTTTCTTTTGTTGAGACCTTTAATTGGAATACCATAAAAGATAAAATTAATTTCTACCCCATCCCTCCACCCCCTGACCACCTCCTGATTTCGAAAAGGAGTCACGCAGAAAAGTTGTTGTTTGTACAAACCAATTAATTTCGGTGAGATTTTTCATTAGAATACCATGAAGGGTAGAACGTGTGTTCACCCCCCCCTTTAAAAAAATGTTATAACCAGTAAGTTATGCACGTTGTAAGGTAACAATGTACCCGTGCCTTTATTTATGGAGCGTGTAAACGCTCCTTTACAAATGCACTACATTGACATCAATAGATGTCGCTAACTAATCATAAATGATAACCTAACCAAGTGTCATTTCCACTTCCTAGTCGTAGTCCTAATCATGGCTGTATAAAAGGAGGATCCCTTGATTTTAGAAGACACTTCTATCCTGTCATTTGATGACCGAAAACCTGAATCCAGACCTGAAACTGATAATCATTCATCCGATTTCCCGTTTGCATTCGATACCGTTTCCGTTCCGCTTATATCCTTAACCCACCTGTCCCTGCACCCTTAACCTCGCCATTCATTAGAAATCATCCAGTCCTTGAAAGACGAACCCTCAAACACCCGGAAGTTCGATACCTGTGGGGCCTGTGACCCGCATGTAGCCAGCTCCCGCTTGCTTGATTTAGTCGTAAGGTTGTGAACGTTAAGCGGAGGTAGTGGCCGTGTCACATCTTGCTTTTCGTTACCATACTATCACCAGTCCCTTAGATACGAGGCGAGTCAAAGTACGGGAACTGGGAACTGTGGGGCCTTCGACCTGCATTCCTCCAGTTTGCGACCGTTGATTCTGCTTCAACCTAGAGCGTGGTGTACGGGGGTAGTGGCCGTGTCACATCCTGTGTACCACCTCTAGCATAAGTACCATACCGCACTGACGGGCCGAGTATTCGGAAGTGCTGGTGTCATTCACCTGAAATAGAACCCGGCGGTACCAATCCTTCGCACCCTGATTAATCGATAGCTTACCAACTCCCGGATAAAAACCCGCTAATCGATAAACTTACAGCTACCGGCCAAATTAGAGTACAGCTGAGCCGAGGCGATCAGCTCCGACATCTCGACACCTGAGATCGCCACCATTGCCCATTTTTACCGAAAACCCGAGGCCACGGCAGAGCAGAATACTACCGTATCGACAACAAACCCAGGGATACCAACCAAATACTATCTCTGTATGCTGTGGTGTAGATACACGGTGTCCCAAATAAAAGAAAACTGGTGTATAAATAAGTTTTATTTAGAGACCCTGGGGCACGACTGCAGCTACCCGCGTGCCCACCGAAAAACCCTTACATAACGTTTTACATTCAAAAACCGCATCTCAGGAAATCATTCATGGGGAGGCTCTCCCTTGAGACAGCGAAATTTGATGCCCATCTGGCACTCCTTGAAGGTATAGGCTACCTACTGCAAAAAATTCCAGGACTCTAGGATCATTCCCCTAAAAGTACTTCAAAACCGCAGAAGTGTGACGGACAAAACGCAAACAATACCACCTTTTTTTTTCTTAAAAAATGCGTTAACAATGAAAAAAAGATTTTCGCCTTAAGGCCTACAGCGCATTTTCCATGAATTGATCAGTACTTCCCGAAAGGTCATGGTAACGAACTATTTATGTGTACAGAGGAAAATAAACTAGTAACAAATGTAGCAAACGAGCTCCTGGGTCACTGAACTAATCAGTTCTTCCTTGAGTGATGATAAACAAAATACTGAAAACAGAATTGGAAAATTCGAAACCGTTCGGGAGTTATCTTGTCCACGGACGGACGGACAGAAAGTCCAAAACCATGAACTCGCTAGGAGCTCGTTAATAAGTTAAGGACTAAATATTCTTGTAAATAGGAAACTTAGCATTGTGTAGTATGCGCATGCGCACATCTGATGTTTAAAATATGCGATATGTTTGCCTTTACTAGAAGAATCCTTGGTTAAAAAATATTTCTACAAATAAGAAAGTTGACACATCTGATTTTTACAATATGCGATGTGCTTGTCTTTCCTAGAAGCATCTGTGGTAAAAATTTCTACAAAATATCTCCAAAAGTAAGAAAGATAGCATTGCGCAGTCTGCGCAAGGGCACATTAATTGACGATTTATTTATCATATTAGAGAGAGATAATAAATAAATAAATTAATTAATATGTTTAGTTGAAATTTTAACCACAGATGCCTTCTAGTAAAGGTAAACATATGGCATATATTAAAAATCATATGTGCGCATGCGCGACTGCACGTTGCTAACTTTATGATTTATTACTGCTTCCCGCACTTTCATATACAGTAATATTTGTTAAGAAGTAGGGATTTCATGTATTATTTTCCCTGTCTACTTTTAAATAACAAAATCTATTCTGAAGGGTTCCTAATTTTATGAAACCAAAATAACTTCTTAAAACAAATAAAGGTCTGGCTGTCATATTAATTAATGTGAATTTTTATTATTTTATGGCGCCTCGATGTCTATCGGGATTTTTAGAATATTCGTTACTGTATGTTTTGCTAATATTTTGATCATCCTTAAATCTCAAATTTATTTATATTTTTATGACATGTCGCTATTATTTGAAATTATATGAAAGCCTTTTTTAAGCAAATTATGAAAAATGGGTCTGTTTCATTTGCTTTGTAAAAGTCAAAGTACTGTTGGTATTGTAACATAATTAATAAACAAGATATAAATAAATTGATTATACTTGGAAATTCCAGAACATGTTATTTATTATTATTTATTTTTCTTTTTCTTCTTCTTCTTAAATTAGTTACCCGTTCAAACCGGGTTTTTCATGCTGGTGAAATGATTAGAAATTGGGGAAAAATAATTAAAACAGCTGAATTTTTCCGCGGCTGAAATCACGGGGGATGAAAGGGGTGGAAACTGGTATTTTGCAATTTGTGGCAAAACTATTCATTTTAGGCGAAAATGTTCAATATAAAAGGTATAGAGAATAAAAAAATGAACAACTTTTGTATCTGCACTATTTACACATAACCTCCAATTTTCCTAGAAAAACCGGAAAAACCTTTTTGTCGAAAATTTTGCTACTCCGCGCACCTCTGTACGATGAAAAAAAATAGATTTTTCATCCCCTTGAAAATAGGTGTTTTTTTTTTCAGAAATCGTGAGATCTTGGAAATGGTTCAACTTTACGGGCCCAACAAATTAGCTCCTTTTTTATCATAAAACAAGCTATGTTTCCTCCAAATTTCAAACCCCTACGATTTTTTTTCACAAAAATAAGAATAAAAAACGAAAAAAACAGTTTTTCCGGTTATTATAGGAAAATTGGAGGTTATATGAAAATAGTGCAGATAAAACAGTTGCTCATTTTTTTAATCTTTACAACGCATTGAACATTTTCGTCTAAATAAGTTTTGCCGCAATTTGCAAAACACCACTCTCAATCCCCGTAATTTCACCCGCGGAAAAATTCAGCTGTTTTAATTATTTTTTCACAATCTCTAATCATTTCACCTGCCCGAAAAACCCGATTTTTCCCCTGTAACTAATTTTATTTGAAAATAAATTATTTTAGAGCTATTGAGCTTGGACTAAGTATATGCCTTTTAAACCAACCTGATCTTCCGCTTTTTTTACGCAATTTTAAGTATCATTACCTTAACTTAAATCCTAAACACAAATTACTTCTGTAACTGTCAGCTGAACATAATTTTGGAGATCGAGACAGCTAGTTTAGCTCCACTGGTGATTTAATGAGCGATTTCGAGGAGTTCAGTTGGCAGGGTAAAGTAGAGA